TTTACCTTTGTGGCATTGTTGAACTGTTCCCTCCCTGAAATCCCAGGGTGTGAATGTTTGAACTATTTTTCTTTTCCCATTTGACTACACTGCATAGTGGCTGAAAGAATTGTATTAAAACTGTCACTAAAGCCCTAAGGACTGCAATTCTTCATGTCCTGGATGCACGGCCAGCTGCCAGGTTGCTGTTCAAATTGTTCTTGGGTGTTTCTTGTTTGCTGTAGGTGAGTCATCTCACTCCTTCCTTCTGTCCCTCCACTACTGTCTATTGTGTGTCCATTTCTCCTCCTCAGCCACTGACAACGCTCAGATGCATTTGTCCCCTGCTTTCATCATACCCAACACGTGTCTGAGTTATCATTTTCCGCAGGAGAGCAATTGAGAGCTGCACTGAAGGAAGGTAAGGAGACTTTCCCCTGTCCTGTTATAAATCCTTCCTTGGCTGTGCAGAAATCAGAGCAGGAACTTCTTTCTTTCTGGCTGGACACTGACTGACATGTCCTCACCATCACCCGATTTCCAAGAGGCAGGATAAGGGACAGGAATGTACTAAAGAGAATCCAGTCCTTTCCCTGTGGCCACAGGACAGGCTGCTGTGGGCATGAATTAATGTGTGCTTGCTCCTTCCTCTGCCTCTGCAATATGTGTGAGCTTATTTTAGTCTTTCCTCGGCACCTGCAGCATGGACATACCCATAGCCCAGAGAACTAAGTAAAGCTGATTGTTTTTTCTGGCATTTAAATACAACATATGGCAAGTTTTAGTGAGGAATTCATTGTGTGCTTTTTATATTAATAGACACTGTGACACAGGTGATTGTAATATTCTAACTTGGTCAATACATTAAAAGGTCAGGTTTATCCAGCTTTTGCCAGAGTACACAGTAGAATGTGGATTTGGTTGTAATTTTCTCTCACCTTTTTCAAAGCTTGTACTACTCTGCCAGGACCAAAACAATGATTTTTGAGAGTGAAAGTAAAAGAAGAATTCTACCAAGCTTATGTTTGGGGCACACTGCTGTTTAAAAAAAAATCTAAAATCCCCAGTTTTCTTTTGGATTATTTTCTGCATTACAATAGAAGCAGTGAAGCATAATTTGGGAAAGGAACTGTTCCAGAGCTGTGTCTGATCTGGAGGCTGGTAGTTCATGTTCCTTTTTAAACCAGTCAGGCTGCATTCCAACTGGTCTGAATGAGCCCCCCACGAGGGTAATATCCTTGAAATGTAACTGAAAAATTTGTATTTAGACAGGAAGCCTAAGGGTAAGAATGAGCTTACACCAGTTCCTCTTGACTTCTAAGGGTTTTCTTCTCATTTTAAAAAAAGTTCTTGCATTGGTATGATCTCTTCTCTCTTCTCAGTACTTGAAGTTTTCTCTGCAAATGTTGTCAAACATCTTATAAAATGCACAACTTGCCAACAACACCTCCCATGTCTGGTGGTTTGCTCCATACTCACAGCTTACTACTGAGACCAACTTTGTGCTTTTCAGACATAGAACAAAGGGTACAAATGCATCCTGCCTGGTGGTTGTAAATAACCATGATTAATAACTGAGACTTGGAGAGACCAAGTCGGGATCTGAAGAAGTAGTGTAGGGTTCACAGCTGGACAAAGGTCCTCAGTGGTTGACAAGGTCTGATTCTGCCCACAGAGAACAAGCCAGATCCTGACTGCTCCCAGAGACTGGTGCTTCTCAGGCAAGCACTGCACACTGAGAGTCCTCAGCATCTTCTGAAAACCCATTTACTTGTGTGTGAACTTCAGCTCAGTGCCAAAATGGGGCTTGGTGCTTAGCTTTTGGCAGCCCACATTCAAAATTGTGGTCTTTGTAAACACATTGCTGAAGAAAGTCCTGTGGGAGTCCCTTACTTTTCCAAAAACCTGCTTTGCTCCACATTTAATAATTTTAGCTTCAAGAAAAGGTGTTTCAAATGAGAGAAAATTTGATTTGTTGATATAAATTAGAGTCCTGGACATTATGGGAAAAATGTAACCATTTCATGTTAATGACTGAGCTGGAGTTGCTCATTTATGCAAATCTAGAGCCACACACGAGTGCAATCAGATGGAATAGTCTTTGCAGCAGCAATTTCTGGGTGCGATGACAGAAGCGAATAGCTGTGACATTATCATAGAATCATAGAATGTCAGGTTGGAAGGGACATTAAGGATCATCTGGTCCAACCTTCTAGGTACTACTATAGTATATATCAGATGGCTCAGCACACTGTCAATCTGAGACTTAAAATTGTCCATATCGCTTACTTGGTAATTTGAAACTCTGCAGGTTTGATACCATTTTGTATGTGCATTATTATCACTTCTGCTGATACTCAGTTCTGTCTATAGGTGGCAGTGACCTTTCATTTTTTTTTCTGTAAAACGGAGCAGAATCATACATGCACATCTATCTCCCTAGTTTTACTACAGGTTCTGGCTGAGGACTGTGAGGCTGTGCCACTGACTGAGCTCTGTACCCAGAAGAATGGCCACAGACTGGTCACCTCTCTTCAGCAGCCTTGTCCAGCTTTCTGTGGGAGGGGGGTGCTGGTGAATGAAAATCTTTAACATTTCCAGATGATCACTGGCTGTTTTATTTCTGTGTGAATTATAAACTTCATTATAGAAAATGGGCAGTTGCTCCTAGAATGAAATACACCAGAGATCAGAGCCTGTGATCTCTGCTCCTTATCAGTTGAACTTAACTTACTTGTAGTGAGTAGTGCTGCATCCACAGGAAACTGGTTTAATTGAAAATTCAAGTCACAATCATTGCCAAAAAAAAATGTAAAAAAAAGAGGAATTTGCTTATCACCCTCCCCTCAAAAATGTACTGATTTTACAGCATGTGAAAAAGGAAGACCATAATCTGCAAATATTCCATCCTCTGCTTGTCTCTTGGCATAAACCAGACAGCCTTGTGAATGGTAAACAAAAGTAAATCTTCCAGGTTCAACCAGATACTAAATTTAACATCAAGACTAAGCAGTAGGATTTGAATCTTGTTTTCATCTTTTCCAATAGGATAATTCTTGAAGTTGCTAGGAAACAAATACATAGCAAGGACAAGAGGCCATTGTACATCCAGGGGAAACACTGGCTGTTTTCCACCATAAATCAGAAGTTCTGATTTATAGTGGAAATATCAGCTGAGAAGATAAAAATCCCTGTAAAATAACTGTGCACTCTGGAGTCAAGGCTCAGCCCCACAGCCCCAGTTTCAGCAGCAAAGCTCAGCAGCAGCATTCAGCTGCAGTTCATCTTTCAGCATCAGCGGGGGCTGCTTGGTGTCCAGCACCACACTGGGCACTTCACAGAGAACAATAACCACCTCTGGAGAGGGGCCCAGCTTAGATTTCACGTCAGCTATAAGGCAGTATAAAATAGAAACCAGATCCAGACCATCCTTGTAAAGGAAAGTCTTGTAGATTTGGGTTAGCAAAAAAATACAACCAGCCTGAGCTCTGCAGGCAGTAACTGGAAGCAGCCCCCTGGGGCTGCTGGCTGAGAGGAGCTGCTCCCAGATTTGCAGTCAAATTCTAATGGACAGGATTTAGCAAATCTACCCTTTTTGTCCTTGTGTCCAATAGCCAAGGGTTGTTTAATGAAAATACTAAAGGAGTTGCTCTCATCCATACCTCTGCAGCTGCACTGAATCATGCAGCTGTAAACCAGAGCAATAATAAAACAGAAGGGCACGTGAGACCTGTGGTGGCTGTGCAGGACATCCAACAGGATGAGTAGTGAGGCTAGAGATGGCCACAGCACTCCACCTTCTTCTCTGCAGAGACCTTCCCTTTTCAAGCTGTGACTCAAGAATAGTGTCTCCTTATTGTTTATTTGTGTAGCTTTTACAGTATATATACATTTACATATCCTGAGCCAAAGTCAATAGGCACCTTATTCTTGACTTCAGTCTGGTTTGCCCTTCAACTGTGTTGCAGGGAGTGTGTCTGACCACAGGGAATTTACAGTCCTAAAGAACAGAGAGTTCAGGGGGTATGTCACAGATTTTAAATTATGGGGAAAAGAAAATGAAAATGTGTACTTGTACATATGACAGAAATTTGAATCAGACACTTTGCTCATGAAACCAAGTTTAAAGAAATCAAAACAGTTTCATTATATATTAAATTATCTAATGGATTACTCATAATTAACTAGCTAAAATCATGCCTGAACTGTAGTCAGAGCTGTCACTCCAGTAGGTATGAACATAAGAAAGCCATTTTAAACTGACTAGCTCAGGTAACAGCAGTGCTGCACCTACCTGTGACAACACGAGATGCTCAAAAAGTGCACCCAGGACCAGCACTGACTGCTGCAGTGACTGGGTCGTGTTGCCTCTGCCTTGCTGCAGCTACAGCCTTGGCAGTGCTGAGCCAAGGACGTGCAGCTCAGGTAGGCCTGGAGCTGAGCAGTGAAACTGTCTAGAGCAAGGGGAACACTGCCACAGCCACAGGTGAGAATTCTCCCCAGAGGATTTGTTACACATAACTACCTGACATACAGGGGCCTCATTTTCAATTTACATGCATGATCTCTTTATTTGTTGCCTCTTTTCTCTCTTCCTTTTAAAAATGAAAACCAAACACAGATATAAAACCCCACCAAGCAGCTGTAACTTATTAATGTATTTCTGTCTTTTTTACTTTATTCTGCTAACTCCCTGTTACTATCTTCTGAGTCCTGATGAATGGTGCAGGTGCAACTGCATCCAGTTTTCCTTGACAAACAGGACAAGTTTATTAGTTTGCATCATCTTTAGAGAGCAGCTGTGAGCCTCTGTGCATAACTGGGTTTGAGTAAGACTGGTTGGTGCAGAGTCATGTTAAGGGCAGGTGCTTTTGGGAAAGCAGGTGGGACTTACTGGGAATTTAAACAGCCTGTCAAGGTCTGTCCCCATTGGTTGTCTCTTAATTTGAATTAGGCATTAAAGTTGTATTAATGAGAAAGAAAAGGTTGTTTGGTTTTTGTTGTTTCACCTTACAGGAGCCATGGGGAACACAGTGAGCATCCCAGAGGAAACTGAAGAAGAAAATACATGCACAGTGAAGAGCTACCAGGTAAGTGAGAGCTACCCACCCTCACCTTCCTGCAATTTTCAAATCACTTTAATAATTGTGCTATTTGCTGGTTTAGGTTCTGTCTGAATCTCCTGACAACATTAAAAATGGATCTGTTGCTTTTGTTCAGACTCATTCTCCTACAATGAATGGTGAAGGTACGTACTGAAAAAGGGTGGCATGTTTGCACTTCTTTTGCAACCAGACAGGCAGAGAGAGACTTCTACTGAAGCAACAATAAATATTGGTACATGGTCTCAAACTAAAAGATAAGCCTGTGACTCAGCCCTTACTTGTGAATCAGTACATGTGTTTTTTCAGATGCTTGAAAGTTCAGAGATAATAAAGAGTAAAATATAAATAATATTTCTAAAGTTCTCTGGAAGTTGTTTGTTGACTTGTTCTAAGCATTTGGTTCTGCATCTGGACCACAAAGAGGGATGGATAGAGGAGGCGAGAGAGTAACGGGTGAAAAAAAATTACTATTGTGCTGCTCCAGGAAACACTGATCTGATATCAATGAGCTCAATGGGTCTCACTTGACTTCAGTTCTGTAAGGGGCTTGAGGAAGGCATTTCAAGGGATACTCGAGGTTGGCACCTCGAGTACCCTGCTAATCTGGCATGACTGTATAACAACTCAGGTTGTTACAATATTGAGTGTAGGAAATAGTGATTGAATTATGCAAGCTGAAAATAAATGTATTGGTGTAAATTGTTTAAAGCTTAAAGTAATACTGTATTGAAGTGAAAAATGGGAAAAAGGAGTAGGAAACTGAGGGGTGAACTATATGGCCTGAGCATTAAAAGTTTGACTCCACAAAGTTTTGAAGTTATCTCTACAGATTCATGGGTAATTGCTCCAGACAATGGGTACATGGGTAATCTGCATCCAGACATGTATCTCTCCTCACCTTTTGGCAATTCATTAATTTCTCCTTCAACCTCTTGTTGGCTTTCCTCAGGAGCCTTCCTGAGCTGTGTTCAGGCAGCTTTCATCTGGAGCAGCCTCACTTCAGTTCACATCTCTGCAAACCTGTGCTAATTTTACCAGTGTTTTCCTTGCATTGGATTTCTTTCTGTTTTCTGACTACAATAACCCAACACTTCTTTCCAGTCTCTGTAAGGAAAGAAAATAATATTATTCATTAAGAGAACACTCTCAACATATTACATCCAGTTGAAAAATCTATGCTTAGACAGAAGTTATCTAAGACTGATATGGAAATATGCAGGTGGTACTGATTACAGTTTAGAATCTCTGTTCCATGGCTAATTTCCTAATGCCATTTAGCTATAAGAAGTCGATTTAAACAGTTGCCTGCTAGAAAATAAAAACCTGTAGCTGTGTGTTCTGGGAAGCAAATTAAAGGCAGATCATTTACACTGTCTGAAGACCTAGAAAATAAGTGTTCATTTTACTTGTAACAGAGACAATTTAGCATATGGCATTGTTTTACTTAAATGGCTTACCTAATTAATATAATTACTAAATCAGTTTAAGTAGTAAGTTGAAAAATTGTTCTATCTTGTTTTGATATTACTTGTGTTTTAACTTTATTAAAGTTTAAAAAGTAGTTAAAAGAATTTACCACTTATATACCACTGAAATCTCACTGGTTTGTGTAATGTCACTAAGGTCTTGGTGAAATAGAAGTGTAAGTCCTATAGGAAATGTGGTTGATAGTATTTCTAAAATGAAATAATGCAAGAAATAGTACTGTAATTGTTTATGGTCCTGAAGTAAGCACTTCTGGAGAAGACAAAAGCTACAACAAAGGCAAGTGAAGCAAGAGGATTTTATTAATAGTGTTAGATGTATGTTTGTGGTCTTTGTCTTGTTAGTTTGCATTTCTGTGATTGCCAGTGATCTGACCATGTGCTGTGCATTAAACCACGTAGTTGATAAATGAGTCTATGAAATCTATATCTGCTAATATAATGAAAAAAGAATCCAGAGAGTTAACTTAATATGACCAGAGGAAGTAATGTTATTTGGAAGAGCCCTGTCACCATCTGCTTCACATCTGTGTGTGCAGATTGGTAACTGGTTCCCTCCATTTGCTGCTTCTGCTCAAACAAGCTGACAGATGTGTGGGCTTAGGGATTCTTTCCATTACTTGCTTTTCCTGCTCCTATTGATTATTGGGGCTGTAGACATTGCACAGAGTGTTAGCATCCACCTTCTCCTATAATGTCATTTAAATAGCAGTGGTGCCCTCACTGCTACTGGGTGATATGCAAGCAAAAGGGTAGCAAATTTGGCCCTGACTTCCTGCCATAGTTCTGTTCCTCAGCCTGGGGAAGTGCTTCATTGTAAAGTCAAGGATATGGAAGAGGAGAAAGTCTGTCAACAATTACTTCTGAGCAGGGAAATGGTATTGACATGACATTGCACTAATCATTACTCTGCACTGTTTCTCTTATAAGTCAAGGAAAAACTCTGGATCTAATCTGAAAAAAATCACAAAAAAAATTTCTTATTTTGTTTCTTTTTATAGAACAGGGACTTTGTGCAGCTATAGTATTGTCTTTTTTACATATTCCTGATGAAATTAAGTGAAAAGAAGGACAAATCTTCTGTAGTGTGACTGTCTTTTGTTAAATACTTGAAAGGAAAATGCCTGTGTAGTAGCAGTATGAAATGCAATCTCACAGCAGTGCAGTAAACTGTATATGATTTTAGTTTCAGAGCAGTTATTAATCTCATTCAGAGTGAGCAGCTTTGATCTACTTGCACATCTGGCCTAGGACTTGGGAGGTTTTGCTTCTATTCCTAGTTCTGCCTCTGTATTGTGGAATAACTTTGGAAAGAATGGCACTTCTGTGTCTCTTTAAAAACAAAAATGCTGTGCACTTTCAGCTCTGGCTTCTAGCTGCCTGTATGAATGAATGCAACACATGGTGTGTTTGTATTATCAGGGTTCTGACAGAGAAATGGGATAGTGGAAGCCTCATGGGAATAGAGAAACTTAGAGTGTTCCAAAATAAATGTGACTGAGAGAGGAGCAAGCACTTGGGAGTTTCCTGCCACATGGGGTTCCAGTCCAAGTGCCAGTGAACTCACTGAGAGATGGATTAAGGTAATTTGGATAATGCGGTTGGAAGGAGATACCTGTGAAGATGCTCAAATCTTGTGGATGTCACCATGCATTTACAAGCAATTGTAGAGACTCTGGATAAAAATTAAGCCCTGTATGGAAACAAAGACTGAAATGAAATGGTGAGAGGTTGAACATTCTTGTCAAAACTTCACCAATTTCATCCAAATATTGCCACTCCAAAGCATTTCTCTCCTTCAGTTTGCTGTGAATATGGCACAAGTTGCTCTTCTGCTGAGCCCACCACAGTAATTCTCCTCTCAGTAGTGGGATCTGCTTTGCCTGATGTTTGAGTAGACATTCCCTGAAACAGTCTGAACTGTTTTGACAGGAGACAGAGCTCATGCTGGTGATATGTTCCAGGTCTTTCATTCCTTCCGTGATAATTAGAGATAAAAGGAGTTTGATAGGTTCATGAGCTACTTTTTGTTTTGTTGATTTTCTTAATGATGAGCTTCTATTCCTATTTTTATACTAAGACACTTTTCCTGTGTTTCATTTTTTATCAGTTACATAAAGCAGAAGTTCTATCTATTACCATTATTTTCCAATGGATATTGCTTCTGCTTTCTTCAGCTGCGGAAGGGTTTGCTTTTGCTTCCTTCCCAAGCTTCCAGCTACCATTAGAATGCAGTGCTTCAGTTCTTTCTTATATAATACTACAGGAGGTTTAGGAAACTATAACTGATAGTTAGTGGCCCTGAATGAATAGCTGAATAGGTGGTCGAATAGCTAGTTATTTGTACCTTTTCTTTGCATGTCAGTATGTTGAAATAAGTGCTCATGAAATTCTGCAGAAGGATATTGCTGGCAAAGAATTCTTGCCAGCGCAAGTAGTTTTCTTACATGATTAGTAGCAGAGAATCCAGGGAAAGACATTTTCTCAGAGTGCATACAAATAAGTGAATATCTATTTACCTGGCCAGAATGGGTTGTACTGAGGAGCTCTGGCCCCTCTGCACACTTGTACTTGCCAAAAACACAACAAGAAAGCAAATACCGGTTTTAAAATGATAGAAGTAGAGATGTTAGGAGGCAGCTCCCCAGCAGCTGGCAAAACGCTGCTGCACAGCTCTTACTTTGTCAGCTGCTGCCTCCACTCCTGGCCTGGATTTGGGTAAAGCCACTCGAGATTCCCACTGTCCTGCTGGCATGCTCTGGAGCTGCACATGTCCTGGGTTATGGAAGCTTCCACCTTCTGCTTGGCAGGACAGACCCTGGGCTGTGCAACAAAGGTCCAGCAAGGCTCTGTGTCACAGTTAATGCTGTTCTCCTCCTGCATCTGCCCAGGGACATGAACAGTGCCCTAGAACAGTATCACATGGATGCAGGCACCTGCAGATGCAGGTAGTACCTGCAGATGTGTGTTACTATGTAAAATCCTGGGGAGGTGGGAAGTTGGGGTAATTTTACTGTGAGAAGCTAAGGGGCAGTTTTGAAAGCTGTGATCTAAAATGTTCTGCTTCCCTTATCTTAAAATGTAATTTAAAACATGAAACTGAATCCTGAAGATCTGTACTGTGGAAGACAGACATTTTAGTCAGGTTTTATTGGTATCTGTGGGCTTATTTATGTTAAAGTAAAATGGGAAGGGCATAATATTGACTAGACTATTATAATTATAATTTGAAATAATTTCAATTTTACCCTGAAACTGACAGTTTTAAAATTCTAACTTAGCAAGTCAGTTTGACACTGTCAGTTTTTCAGTTATAATTAAATCTAAATTCACCCTTTAATTCTGTGGTGATGATTGACAGTGGAATCAAATACATATTCTAGTCAAATAGAACTAGGAGAGGGAGGGGATGTGTAGGGGAGAGAATCTCAAGCTTAGGGGGATGTGTAAGGTTTACCTTCTGATGAGCCCATTCTTGTTTACTGGGGTTTCACACTATGTAATTATGATTCAGTCTCCCATACACAAGATTGATATAGGAAACATTTTTTTTTTCTTTTGTCTCTTACATATTTTATCTTCTGTAAAGCAGGAGTCTTCTCCTGTCTGCACTATTAAGGATTTTCACCTTGGCTGTATGTGCCTTTGTAAGATAAAATCATAAAATACTCTTAAGATGAAAGATTTTTTTTTTACATCTGAAGTGTGATGGCCATGTGTGTGCACAAGGGGGAATTATTAGTGAGAATTTTGAGGGGAGTGTCAGGTTTGACTCAGGATCAACAGTTAAGCAACAATAGAAATGTGATTAAGGACATATTGTTTGTGGATAAAGAGTCAGAAATGTAGAGATAAGAAGTCTGGCTAGATGTGATTTTTAAGTATTCAAATTGGGCGTAAACGGACAATAGAAAAATGCAAGAAGAAACTGCATAATGGAGGGTAGGCAGCAAGGCAAGGAACAGTGCTGGGAAAATGAATGAAATAAGTTCTGACTGCAAAGCCCTGTGTGGAGTTTGGCCAGCCAGGAAATGAAATCAGTCCTCACAACTTCCATTCTTCTTCCTCCTTTAGCTTTGACGGGTAAACATGCAATATATTAATATACAGTTTTGTCTCAAGTTTCATTGATTTTGTTTTTGCATATCTTTTATTTAATATTGGAAAGTAAAATATTCTCAGCATGCCCACTGGGCTAAGCAGTCAAGAACTGGGTCTGTTATCTGACTGGCAGCTGAGAGGAGGCTGTGGAGAACAAAAAGTTTGCACCAAGCTCAATGAGGAATGACACGAAAGAAAATCAACCTGACAGATCTGATAGACGAGCAGCAGCTCGGGGTCCCTAAACAAGCTGCACTCTGTGTGGTCCTCCCTGAGGCTCCGTGTTTCAGAATTAGTTTATTAAAGAGCAAGATCACCATGATTAATTGTACAACCTGTGTAACTCCTTTGCTGCGGTGGATAATTACTGTTTTATGCTTCTGTTTGTAGTGGCTGCAAAGGCAAGTGTTTCAGGGGATAATGTGGCCGTTTCTTCCTCCAAGACAATGGAGCAGAGCCCCGTTTCCGAGGCGGGCGGGCAGAGCCTTGGGAGAGCTGCCAGGAGGGCTCTGCCATCTGCTCAATCCCGCTCTGTCTTTGCCTTTGCATGGGCTGTACCAGGGCGTACTGAAGATCCAGCTACAGATTCATCAGTTGGATCGCCGAGGCTTGATGTCAGCTCCGAGGAGCCTGCAGTGAACAAAGGGCCAAGTGACAGCCTGGAGGTTCCCGCGGCAGCTGCACGGGAGGAAGGGTCACATAAAAACCTGAGCCAGGCCCTGCCGCCAGCCTCGCTGGGCAGCATCCATCTCACAGCATCAGTGACACCTGAGGGAGAGGGAACGGCCGCCTCAAAGCCAAAACAAGTAACCTTCTTTGACAGGATCTTCAAACTGGAGAAGGGAAAGGAAAGCAGTAAGAGGCAGAGTGACCCCCAGGAGGAAAGACAGAGCTCAGACCTGCCCGACGGGCACGTCACCGTGACAGAGGCTGCAGGGTTACAGAGCACGGCGACCAGCGTCCCACGGGGGAAGGCAAGTGCTTGAGTGGGAATATCCATTTCACTCCTAATGAAACCTCTTAGGAATATTAATAGCGCAGGACGGTTTGATGTCCCTGTGGCTGTGTGAATGGATTGGTGTTGCTCTTAAAATTTCTGCAGTTAACACCCTACAGGGTGGCTGGATTCAGGAGAACCTATGGTGGGGTGGTAACTCCACCTGATGTCCAGCTCATGATGAAATGCTGGTAGTGACCTCCAGTTTAAGTTCACTTGTATTTCCCTGAAAGGTTTGGGCAAGATAGTTGTGGTTGTGCTCCAATTGCCAGGATGGTGAACAGCAGCCAGCTACAAAGGAGAGCAAAAATACTTGAAAGTAAAAGTGTTTCTTCTGCTTTAGGAGCTTGGGGTTTGGTGCTGGATGATTTTAAAGGTGTTCTTTAGCATTTGTGCTATTCCTGAAATAGTCTATCTTCTTAAGCAATCGCTGCTTTTTGCATACCCTGTGTGCCAGAATAAGGAATATTATGCAGTAATAATTTTTGCACTCAGCTATTGTGATTTACAATAGTGTCCCTTAGAATTTATTTTACAGGATGACAATGCCATATAAGAAATAAAGTAACTTATCTGAGAGAGCACAATAATCAAAGGCTGAAAACAGATGTAAGTTTAGATTTTACATTTCTCACAAAGCTGGATATCAGCAAGTATACTGTAGGATTAGTTTTCAGGTAATTTAAAAGTTTGTCCTCTGGATAGGGGTAAGTGGCATAACTCTCATTAGTTCTGCTGCAGAAGTGCCAGCACACACAAATTGGTGATCTAGTTCAAATCCTGTCCAATGTCAGGAACAGGAAGGAGAAACCAGGTGCATGGCTCCCTCATCAGAATCTGGGTAAATGCCATTTTAATTGTAATCACTTTTACTGGCCTAGTTCAGGCTTTCCAATAAGACTGCTCCATGGCTGCTAAGGCTTTCAATAGTGTTAAATATAGCCACAAGACACTGCTTGCACTGACAACATTGCAGGTTGCCTCCAAAAGGCTCCTTAGTTTCTATTCTTCTGTTTTGTATTCTATCTTATGCCTCCTCAAATTTGAAGGTCACATTTCTTGTATAAACTTATAAGTTGTAATATTTTTCTGATTAATTATTTGTAAGACTCAACAGTTGCATTTCTGACCATTGCCCTTCAGAAGCAGCACCCATCACGAGTATTTCAGACAGCTGTATATGTGCTTTTAAAGACTCTATAGTCTCAACTTAGGAGAATATCAAGTCATTCACTACATAAACAGAACAGGGTGAATAATTCAGAATGAATAATCTATTCAGTGCATACTGGAACTTCTGTTTAACCTTATAAGACTGAAGCTTTTCAACACTGTGAATTCCTGCAGACATTTTTTACTAACACAAAGACCAAGTTTTGCTTGTGGTGTGGAAGAATTACTTTTACAATCAAATGCAAAATTCTTAGTTTTCTATTCTGCTGTGATTGCAAACTACAGAGTGTGAAAGGTCACAGTTTGTGCTGTGGAAGTAGTACAGTGTGAAACGGTAATGAAGTAACAGTCTGAAGTAGCTTTAACCAGAAGTCTGAGTTGAACATTTGCTGGGAGCAAATAGTCACCTTGGGAAAGCTCAAGTAAGCAAGTATTTGAAACATGGACCATCAGGGAACAGGGCAAGATAACCTAAAACTTATTCTGTTAGTTCAAACAGTATTATATCAATACTGCTTTATTTATTCTGAATTGTTAATTTTGAGTTCTGTTCCTGTCTTCATCATATATGTATCCACGTCCCATACCTTACTAAGGGGAATAAGCTGGAAATAAGTGACAGTGGCAGAACCATAGCACAGGTAGAGTGAAATTTTAACCTTATTGTTGAATTTTCAGACTATTTATTCCTCAAATATGAAAAGGAATATAGGGGGGCAGAGAGTTACAGACCTTTTCTGGGAAAAGTATATCTACCAAATGTCTGATGCATTGCTAAACTTTAATTCCATTTCTAAAGCAAAGGCTGTGGCTCTGCCTTGCAGCACACTTACCCTCTGTTCCCTCTAAGGTTGCTAGTTCTCATGTAGGATAGGAGAATGATCAAGTGTAATTTAATTGCTGTTACTGTAGTAACTACAAGCTATTACAAAATAATTGTATTACCAATCCAGATATTGCTGTCAACAGTTTGGTGTTGTGTTTTTTGTGTGGATTATGACTCGTAGTATCTGTAAAAGAAAACCAAAGTTTCCCTGAACTGAGTGCCAGCACAAAACAAACAACATTGCTGGTAAGTAAGAGAGAGACTCCACAGATGTAGCTTAAGAGCTGCACAAACATTCTGTGTTTGGTTGAACCACTCTTTATTTTTGTGGTCTACAAAACTACATTCAGAACACAGCATAATTAAAACAAGGACAGAATTCATGAATTCATGAAGCATTTACTATGTGAGCCAAAGAAAAGATAAATTATATGCCTGAAATGTTTCACTGAGCCATGATTCATGCAAACAAAAGTGCTGGCAGGAATATGTGCTTTTATGTTTTTCTAATGACTGAACTGAAACTATAGTATAAGTATTTAGGACTCTTATTACCCTCAAATTTGGCTCCTTGAAGAAATGAACTGAACATTTACATAGTGTCTGTTAACTGCTAATGCTGACTTTCTTCTGTTATTTCTAGAGTTTTCTTTCATTATTTGCCTCTGGGGTTTTGAGCAGCATGTTATGCAGTGAGCTGCTGTGGAGGTTTTTATAGTTATTTGATTATGGCTCTGAAAATGTGATACTGTAGGACTTCAGATTATCTCTCCCTGATTTATATGCCAATGGCCCGAGTCTGTGCACCTTCCTACAGCAGTATTCCCACAAAAGCATGAGATGGATCACAGCATCTATCAAAGCCCAGATCTGAGCTGGATCTCAGTAGCTAATGGCAGCCTTGGCTTGGGGATCCTGGAGTAGGTTCCTATCACAGTACTGGGTCATTACAGGAGCTACTTGTGCTCTGCAAGTCAGAGTTCAGGGATTTTTGGATGACATTGTGCCTCAAGCTCTGCACAATCTGCAGTAGCT